GGGCCGGCGCCCGTGCCCGCGGCTGGGGGCAACCGGCCTCCCTGCGAGGGGCCGCGTGGTGGCTGCAGCCCGCCTTCCCCCATCCCGTTTGGCAACAGATGCCGTGAAGAGTGTCAAAATCCACGCAGAGGAAGAGAAAACACATAGCACACTTGTTATATGCTTTTAAGCAAGCGGGGGAGCTAAAATTCCAGTGCATTCCCGGCCAAAAGCAGCGGCGAGTAGCTCCGACTCGGATTGACGTTAGCGTGGCTTTAAAGTAATCCTGTCATTGGGATGTTTCTGGGGTAGTTTTATGGATTGCCGGAAGGAAGAGAAACCACCTGCTTGTTGAGGTAATAAGTTCCTTAGCCGGAAATATTTTTCATGTGCATCTCCAGCATCGGAGAGTCATTTGTTTAGACGTTCAGACTGGTTTTTTTGCGAAAGCAGTCTGATGGCTGCAGCATTAAACTCTTTCACATTTTCCTTTTTCCATTTTTCTTGGTTCGTTTAATTGGATGGCTTCTGCTGGCATTTCCTGGTCTGCAGACAATGCTGCGTGGCAGCGCCGGCCAGGAAACGCGGCCAAGGGACGTCTCGGCTATCTCATGGAAGGAGCCAAGTGGGCGGGCAGGGATGGCAAAAGGTAGGGTCAGCATTTTCTGTGAAGAATTGGGTTTTTTTAAATGACTTCAGCTTTTTTTCCAAAAAAAGCAAGAAAGAGAAAAAAAAAACTGAGAATGTGCTGGCATTCAGATTTGCAGCAAAAGCTCAGATCTCATTAACAAAGAAAGCACCTTATTTTGTCTACCCTTTGCTTAAAAATCCAACCGTCAAATTCTTCTTTGGCATAAGCAGAAAATTTCGCGCTAATTCTAGTCTTGGATCTATGACCAGTGCAGATAAAGAGATACCACCTTGATGGAAAAAGTGGTTTTTCTGTGAATGCAATGCGCTCTCAGCATTGCCCGTGGGCTGCATCGGCGCCGTACCCGACGCTTGGCTGGGCGCAGCTCTCCGCAAAGCAGACACGGACGTGCCATGTTATTCCACATGTTAGCATGCCATCCCGGGCGCCTTCACATGAGTTAGACCCTGGGAGGCTTATATTTATATATTTTTTTTTTCTTTCAAAACTAATAGCTGTTGAACAGCTGCATTCTCAGTCAATACAGGGGCGCAGCTGGCATGAGGCTGAGACAGTATTTTGGAAATCAGAAGGTCTAACTGTTCCCAGAAAAGTCCATTTGCTTCAAAGCAGCCCAAGGGCCAATAAATGCAGCTTTACAACTTGCATATCTGCGCTTGAAACTACCGTAGAAAAACTTGTGATGTTCAGATAAACCGAAAGGGGTGCAAAGCTGCTTGCAAGTGGATTCACAAGTGTAAAGTAAATCCAGCAGGAGAGGGAATTTTATTTTATTTGTCTGCGGGAGAACAAATCGAATAATATTCCTAGCAGGAAGGGACTGCAGCGTGGCCTGCAAACCAGAGCTCTCTGCAGATGGCTGGAATATGTTAAATCTATCTCCAGATTTTAAAAATAGCATTTGTTTTTTTTTTTTTAAGGGGATTGTCCAGAAAATGCCGGCGCTGAGTACCCTCGGAGTCAGGTGAACGGGGAGACGCGGATCTGATCTTGCTGGCGTGATCACGTCTCCGGTTTGCAGAGGCATCTGAGCTGCTCAGAGGAAGTGCTTTGTAGAAGTCTGAAGGCTCGTTATAGTAACCTAATTGCATCTTGGAGTGGGCAGCGTGCTTATTTTGTGCAGCGGACTGTTCTGGAGAAGCGACCACAAAAGACTCGGTCCCTCCTCCGAATCCAAGGGAGGAATCGCTCCCGCTGGAAGCGGGGCCGGGCTCACCGGTCTGACGGCTGTTGGCGGCCCTGCGCGGTCAGGAGCGATGGTTTGCGGCGCGTTTGGGACCGGGCAGAAAGAAGCAGGGACAAGTCGGAGTGACTCATGCCTTAGTACTGCTTTCGGCTTTGATCTCGATCCTGACCATATTTTGGGTCAAATTGCATTTCCCTTCTCTGAAGTTCTCTCTCCAAGCTGGCATTGAAACCATTGCGTTGCTTCCCTTTAAGAAAGAAAAAACACATTTTGGCCTCAATGTAAATAATTCACTTTTTTTTTTTTTTTAGTCTACTATCTAGCTCTGTTCAGCAAAATGCCAAGCTCTACGGCCAGGGCTGGGCACCACCACCAGCTGCGTGATGCGTCCAGGACATGTCCAGCCCCCTCCTACCAGCTGGGCACCCCTTCTTTACTGTTGGAGAAGAAAGCAGGTCTGAAACCCTTTCTAAATTTTTTTTCTTCCCTCTTTGCAAATGATTTTCTGCCCAGAGTTACTTTAACTGTCTCATATTTTCCCTTCAAATACATTCAACAGCATATTAATCACGCTTTCCTCTGATGTTCTATGATTTTTATGGACTGCCAACTGCACAAAGCCAGTTTGGCATCTTCTTTAGCAAACCAAGGTTTCGATGGCTTTACCATTTGTATTTAGCGCTTAAGTATGCATGTCACTTTGGAAGAAAAAAAACAGAATTCATGCTCATGTTCCATAGCAATTGCCTCCAAGCAGAGAGTAATTGCTATAGACAGGCAAATAGAGGTAGCAAAAATGTACAGCTGTGACTTGTGCTTCTGTGGAGCAAGAGATAAAATAATACTAAGTTGTTCAGAATAGTTACATAAGAGGCTTTTTCCTGCAATGGAAAATTTCCCAGGGGAAAGATTCTGTTTTTATTGGTGAGGTATTTAATTTCTTTTCTGTAAATTAAAAGTGCATGAGCAGATGATGGAGTGCGAGGATCCCTACTGTCAGTCCTGAGCGGTAGCAGAAGTGCTGTAAGGCTCTGGTGGGGCTCTGGGGCCGGGAAGGAGGAACGCGGTTTGCCCCGCACGCGGCTCCGGCACCTCTGCACCCCGCGGCTCTGACTCGGGCTGCAAACTTCAAGGCCTCCAAGCGTTTTAGAGAGCTCGGTGAAGGAGGGAGATGGGCTGCAAGGTGCTGGGAGAGGGCCGGGGGATAGAGGAGTCCCATCCAATTTAGTGCAAAACCGCAAGATTTGGCATCTTTTCCTGGTTTGAGTGCGGATTTACTGCTGGTTGGGCAAGTTGTCCGCTCCGGCTGCTTCCATGGGCCTGTCGAGAGGGTGATGTGCCAGGGATGCTCGGAAGCTGGGCAGGTGATGCTGCTTTTGGGAAAAACCACCAGGAGGTGCCTTTTCTTGCACGGCACGGGTTAGGACCGCGGCGGGCCCGGGGCCGCGCCGCGGT